TTGGACGAATGAAGCTACAGTTTTGCTAATTAAGTTAGTGAAAGAGTATGACTCGGATTTTCAAAATTCAGTGAAAAAGCATGTCTGGATAAAAATTTCAAAGCGTTTAATAATGTTGCATACACAAGTGACATGGCAACAGTGCGACTCTAAATGGAAGAGTTTGATGAAAACTCGAGATATAAAGGAGTGTTGGTTGAGGCAGGAACGTTGTGGAAGGAAGAAGAAGAAGATTGTGTGAACTTAATACATTTACTACAAAAACGATTACCAAAAAAGTTAAGAACACGTTTTGACAAAAAAGATGATTCATGTGGAATACATTTTAGGTTACTTCTAACAACTACCTAACTTCATGAATGCCATAGGCGTAGTTATTTTAAATCTACTCTCAACAGCCCCTCTATTTAAAATGTTTCAAACCCTGACTTGTAGCACACCACCCACTCTTTTTCTTGTCAACTGCTTTTGTCAAAGAATCTGCGACTTGTTTGTCCGTTGGGATGTACTTCAACTCCAAGATTTTTTCTTCAATTTTTTCCTTTAAAAAATGGTGCCTTACGTCTATGTGTTTGGTTCGTGCATGGTAGGCTCCATTAGTAGCAAGGTTCTGGGCTCCTTGGTTGTCCACATACAGTACTATAGGTCCTTTACAAAAACCAAGCTCCGCACTAAGGTTCCGTAACCATAAAGCTTCTTGGGTTGCCATGCTCATCGCCATGTACTCACTTTCGGTTGTAGAAAGAGATACTGTGCTTTGCCGTTTGGTTCCCCACGAAATAGCTGTTCCATTTTTCAAGAAAGCATAACCGGTAATTGACCTGCGATCATCCACGTTGTTGGCCCAATCAGAATCTGCGTAACCGATCACCTGGCTGCTCCGTTGTCCGTCGAATTCCAATTTATACTGAATTGTACCCCTCAAGTACCTCATGATGCGTTTTGTTGCAGTCCAATGTGTTAGCCCTGGATTGCGTGTGTATCTGCTTACATTGTTGACTGCAAAAGATATATCCGGTCTTGACACTTGTGCAGCAAACAACAAGCTTCCCACGGCTTCCTGGTATGGCACACGAGACATTTTCTCAGCTTCATCTTCTGAATTAGGACACATGTTTATCGATAACTTTTCTCCGAGTAGGGCTGGGGTGTCTACCGGATTACAGTCCCACATCTTGAACTTTTTTAGCAAACTCTCCACATATGATTGTTGATCCAACCATATCTTCTTATTCTTCCTGTCTCTTGTGATTTGCATACCCAACACAAATCTGGCCTCACCAATATCCTTGACCTTAAACTCTGACATCAACTGATTTTTAAGTCTTGTTTTTGCGGTAACATCATTTGAAAAAATCATCATGTCGTCGACATAAATCGCCACTATTAGCATCATTGACCTAGTAACGTTATAATAAATACACGGATCAGTCTTTGATTGAGTCAAACCACAACGTTTTAAGCATTCGTCTAGTTTGAGGTTCCATATCCTACTAGCTTGCTTCAGTCCATACAGTGACTTACGAAGTTTGCAAACTTTATTTGGCTCTGCAAAGCCTTCAGGCTGTAACATATATATCTCTTCGGAAAGATCACCTTGCAGAAACGCCGTAACAGCATCGAGCTGATCAATGTCAAGATCATATTCTGCTGCTATTGCAAGTAAATATCTTATCGAGGTATATCTGACTACTGGGGAGTAAGTCTCCTTATAGTCAATCCCCTTTTTTTGACTGCAGCCCTTGATGACTAGTCTGGCTTTATGTTTCACTATTTTCCCAGTTGCATCCTTTTTTACCTTAAACACCCATTTGGATTTTAAGGGTTGTTGCTCAACCGAATATTCCACCAGCTCCCAGGTTTGGTTATCCATTAGAGCAGAATATTCTTCCTGCATGGCTGCGCGCCACTGGTTTCTGTCCGGCCTACCCATGGCTTCTTCCACTGTTTCAGGATCAGTGAAATTAACTATGCTTGCATAACTCACATCATAGTCTTCTAACCTTTTAGGCGGTCTGCGCACTCTCTCACTACGTCTGACTGTCTCATTCGAAGGCTCTATATCTTGATCTGGAACGAACTCTTCATCCTCAAACACACTCAAATCTGTTGAACTTGAATCTTGCTCAAAATGTAGGTCGTTAGATTCGGGTTCAATTACCTCTGGATCAGGCTGGAAGTCAGGTCTCACTTCAGGATTAGTAGCAGGAACTGGTACTACCTCAGCTTTTGTGGACTCTTCAGGAAAAAACGAAAAAATGCTTTTCTCCTCCACGCCTAGCTTCTTTGATCAAGGTGTTGCCCTTCTCTTGTTCAAAGAAAATTACATCCCTGGCTATAAAAACTTTTCCATTTGATGGGTTGTACAACCTGTAGCCCTTGCTTTCTGCGCTATAACCAACCAAAATACTGGGAATAGTTTTACTGTCCAACTTCTTGCGAATATCTTTAGGAATGTGGGCATGCACCTTACAACCAAAAATTCGTAGCCCCTCTAGCTTTGGTTTTATCATACTCCAGGCCTCTTCTGGTGTTTTCCCATCTAAACACTTCGTAGGTGACCTATTCAGCAAATGTACGGCGGTATTGGCGGCTTCTGCCCAGAAACTGTTAGGTAGTTCGGAATCGATCAGCATACACCGAGTCTTCTCAATAATGGTTCGATTTAAACGTTCCGCTTTACCGTTTTGTTGAGCAGTGTATGGTACAGTGCGCTGATGGAGAATACCATAGTTTTTTAAGAAATTCTGAAATGTGGCACTGACATACTCTCCTCCATTATCTGTGCGTAAAACCTTTATCGACTTGCCCGATTGATTTTCAACAAACTTTTTGAAAATCTTAAAATGTTCGAACACTTCGTCCTTGCCTTTTAGGAAATACACAAACACCTTATGTGTGTAGTCATCTAAGAAAGTTAGCATGTAACGTGACCCTGCCAAACTTTGAGTCTCTATTGGTCCACACAAATCTGAATGCACCAACTCTAAAACATCCTTAGTCTGAGAACTACTTTCTACGAATGGCAATCTGTGGCATTTACCCTGTACGCACACTTCACATTTACAGTCTAAGTCTTTATCAGAGAAGTTTACACCCAATACCAAACCATTTTTAAGCTTATTTAAATTACTATAGTTTATGTGACCTAGCCTACGATGCCATAACATTTTCAAATTGTTTGCGATTGCATGACATGCTAAATCACTGCTTTGGGAATGCAACACCTGCACATCACTACTAGTTCCCAAATTTAACTTAAACAAATCCCTCTCAAGTTTTCCTGTTGCAATTATCTTCCGTTGCGAATCATATACTTTACACCCAACTGAGTCAAATACAACCGAGCAATTTTTCTTGACTATTTGACTTACCGACAGGAGGTTGACTTTTAAATCAGGTACGTACACTGTGTCTTTAATCACGACATTACTAGAACTGGTTATCGGTAAAACAGCAGTACCCACTTTATCAGCATGCATCACTTGATCATTTGCGGTGCTAATATTATGACCGACTGTGTCTTTAACGTCCCGTAACACTTTCAAGTTGTTTGTCATATGTACGCTAGCTGCAGAGTCTAAAAACCATTCATCTTTCTTCGTATCACACCACGGTGCCACTGAGAGTGCTGATAACAGCGCCACTTCTTTGTTTTGTTTATCCTTCTCAGGAGTCTTGCAATTTTTGGCAAAATGTCCGTACTTGTTACACTTAAAACAGCGAACATTCTTGTTCTTACCTCCAGTAGCACTGCCGAAACTCGAATTCATCTTGCCCTTTTTCATACTGTACAAAGCTACTTGTTCTGTGCTTGATTTTACATCTTGCAGGAGCTTAGTCTTAATTGAATCCCCAGTTACAGCTACACCAGAGCTTTCGATGCCCATAATCATGGGTTTATATTCATCTGGTAAGCCAGCGAGCAGGATCGTACCAACCCATTCATCGCTTACAATTAAACCCACACTGGAAAGCTTATGTGCTGTACTGACTATTTTATTGACATACTCTTCAACATTACTGTTTTCCAACCGTGTTGTGATCAGTGTGCGGAGAAGTCCTACACGACGTGTCAATCCATTATCCTCAAACGCCTTGTTTAGATTATCCCAAGCTTCCTTGGCTGTAGTTGCAGACTGGACATGAACATAATTTACTGGCTCGATTAGCAAGATTATTTTGCTCTTGGCTTTCATGACCTTCTTCGCGTCTTGCTCTTTACCACTCACACAATCCCACAGTTCTTCATGTTCTAAATAAGTTTTAACAGCGAATTTCCACGTATCGAAATTCTCCCGGCCTTTCAGCTTCTCAATAGGGGGAATTGAAGCAGTCGACATTGACATCGTGAAACGATAACTCCGATAACTTATTTAGCGGACACCGACACCTGGGCCCATAACCTGTTGGTTGAGGCAGGAACGTTGTGGAAGGAAGAAGAAGAAGATTGTGTGAACTTAATACATTTACTACAAAAACGATTACCAAAAAAGTTAAGAACACGTTTTGACAAAAAAGATGATTCATGTGGAATACATTTTAGGTTACTTCTAACAACTACCTAACTTCATGAATGCCATAGGCGTAGTTATTTTAAATCTACTCTCAACAAGGAGCATAATGCAACTTCAGGTAAAAATAGAAGAAGGTGGGAATACTTTGAAATAATGAATGATATTTTATACAAAAAGCCAGACATTGAAGCAGTGGCCACCTGTAGTAGCCACACCGGTCTTGTTAAAAGAACAGATAAAGAAAACAATTCATCTGGTCTCAACGAATTGAAAAGAAAGGATACAGAAGAAGAATCTGATTGTAGTGCTAGTAGCAGTGGTAGTGCCTCCACCTCTGGGTGTAAGAAGTTTAAAACCACTTTCACTAAAAAACGAGAATTGCAGAATGCAGTGGAAAGAAGACATCGTGAACGTCTACAACGACAAGATCGCTTCCTGAAGACATTTGAAGATTATGTCAACATTTTAAAAAAGCAGGATGACGATAATTAAAAAGTAGACATAGGTACTTATGTATATATTAGTAATAGTTTGTTTGTTGTAAGAATTTATGGTTTGTTTTGTTTGTGCTTATTATTGGAATCGTATTTTATTTATTTATTCATTTTATTTGTTATATTGTTTATTTATTATATTATTAATCTATCACTAACGCATTCATTATCATTGTCCTTTTTGTAATAGCTTGGTTTTCCTCAAATTATGGTCTACATGTGGCTCGTGTAAAATATCATTTCTTATTTCTTGCACCTCATATGTCCATTACAATGCTTTCTGGTAAATCATTATTAAAGATACACAAATTGTTTAGAATACATGAACTAACTATTAATAGGGACATTAAATCTAACCTTATTGTCTCCATATATTTCAAACGACGAAATCGACCTTTTAAATACCCAAAGGCATTTTCGATGTCGACCCTACACCGTGACAGTTTGTAATTAAAATTCATTTGATGTGCATTGGTTAAGCCCCCTAAATTCTTAAAACCAACCATTAACGTTGTAGATAATTTATACGCTAGATCGCCAATTAAATGGCTATCTTGAGGAAATTCTATCTCATTATTGATAATGCGGTAGTACAAATCAGACTTTCTAAACATCCTCATGTCATGCATAGATCCAGGTTCACCAGCATACACATCGAGAAACACTTTGGAGTGGTCACAAACACCTTGCAACAAAACAGAATGGTAATTTTTCCTGTTGCAATAAGAATTTGGATGTTCCTGTGGTTTTTTAATTCTTATGTGGCACCCATCAATTGCTCCGATTATTCCTATAATAGATATAAAAATTGATCTATATATTTTATAAATTGAATTGCACCAACCTGGAAAGCCATTTACACTTTGAAATTCATTCATTATTCTCTGGCATCGTGCCCCAATTGGCCATGAAATTATGTGATGTACATTATTTACACGCAATAAGTGTTTACAAGTTCTATACAATAGGTCCCAAAACATGTACTTTTCGTAATGCCGAATCGATCAACAACAGATCTAAAATTTATGGTGCCATAGATATTCTCTCGGATATTCTGTATGAATAGTATAATTACCGAAATGACTCTATGTTTGCTAAACACCAAAGCAGATTTCTGCCGATATGGTAACACAAGTTAAGCGAAAAATTACAAATATTTTATTTGAATCGCAAGATTAAATTAGGTTAGTTTAAAAATTTAATGCAATAAGTCATTTCTTAGTTTTTATTTTGTTGAAGTTTGTTAGTAAAAATGTGTAGGTAATATGCTTAAAATTAGTTAAAGGTTTCATAGGAATTAAAAGTAAAAATTAGTTCCAATATCTACATAGGGTGAAGTGGTGTAAAAATGAGACAACCAAAATTATGGGTAAAAATGAGACACTTACATAATTGCAACTAAAGATCATTTTAATCCCACAACAAAACGACAATAATAAAATCTGGATATAGTAAAACCTAAAGTCATATTTATTCAAAAATTAAATATAAACCACCAATGATTAAACGAATCGTACTTTATGTGTTACAATTTATGCGCCAAAAACTTTTAAAATCGTTGATCAATCTTTTACGGTCATGACGAATCCAGACGTCGGAATTGTTCGGCGAAGGTCGCAAAATGAAGCCGTTGCCATAAGCATTCAGTAAAACGCGCGCGAACAGTGTATTACCATTGAATAATAAATCTGAATAGAAGGTCAGTGAGATAGGAGAAAAGGTGGCCAGTATTCATTATCTAGAATGTGCTGGTATCGTACGGCAAGTAACAAAACGTGATTAAAGGAAACTCTTCAACATTTTTTAATTCATACAATATAGCCGAGATACTCACTTCAAAATGAGTAGAGAGGTGAGAGAGAATGTTTTGACTACGGTGACATCATGCCATTGATAAACTTACGCACGTCGGTAACTGGATACCTTTGATACAACGATCGTCTAAATATAGTTTTCAGATGAATATCCGACTTAATTTTTTAAGAAGTTATAAGTTCTTAATTCAATAATAATAACAGCGTTGTTGCAGAACGTAAAAAGTCAATTATTGGATACGAGATAATTAGACAACAATATGCTATGATAATATGATAAAGGGTCCGTTCACTTAGCCAAAAATGAACTAATTTTTTTTACGTATTGTGCCTCAATAATCATTTGTGCTCAATAGTGCATTTATGCGCACCGTTTGTGCCTTTTTGGTTTTGGAGATAATAGGACAAATCAAATGGGGGCAACTTAAATCGTTATTTTTTTGTTATTTGTGACATTTTCAACTAACTACATACGAAATTAGATCATTCACTAATAGTAGTAGGCGAGAGACACTTTGTAACCCCAAGGCCCATTCTCCAAACGAGTACCTTATAACTTTTGTTTGAAAAGTTATTTTAAGCTTTTGTTCCTTAACTCATCCAGTATGTACACAACCAATTTCGTGGAATTCTCTCCATTTTCGTTGTCCGGCCAAGAATTGCAGTGGAACTTTTTTTTCGAATTTTCAAAAACTAATTCCAGATTCGTGATTTTTATGTTCAAAAACCCCCAGGCACCAAATTTCGTCGAAGCAGGGGTGCGCCCTTCCGTGATAGGAATTTTGAAAATTTTTTTCAAAATCGGAAAGGGCATACCCGAAAACCTAATTAAAAACGTGTCACTCATCTATGTAACTTGAGTGATTGTTTAAGGTACGGTGAAAATTTTTTTGCGGTTTTAGGTCACTAAGCAGGTCTATTTTAAGAATCCGCCCAAAAATGTCTGCAAAAAATACAAAAATTAAATTTTTTAAAAATATGGGCATGTAGCACATCGATTTTAGAGTTTTGAAGTTTTCTGAATTTAAATTTTTAGTAAAAAATGTTTTTGGGGGCGTTTTGGAGGAGTGGGGGGTGTTTTTAAGGGGTGGGTTTTTATATTTTTTCAATATTAACGTGTCGTACATCGATTTATATGTTTTTTATGGATAAGGATCCCGAATTCCATATCAAAATGGAGGTACAGCAAGTTATTCAATGTTAAAAAAGTAGAACGACGCCGACAGACGGCCCGAAAATAACATAAAACGCGCGGTACGCCTCGCCCGCGCTGCACGACATCATTTTAATAAAAAGATAATAATTTTGACGCTATCTTGTATATCTTTCTAGGATTTATTCAAAAATCATACTTTGACATCAAAATTGTAATCTCCACCCCAAGAAACCTATAAAAAGACGTATTGCACTTGTTATAATTATCCTCCCCCCGGCCCTCTATCACCCAATTTTCACCCTGTATAACCAACTTTAAATGACATCCTTACCTTTCCATGTCTGTATATATTAGAAGTTTTAGTTTTTGTTAAGATGAATTCAGATATTTTCAATCGTCTGAACGTTAATCATCAATACAACACAAGGTATGGTCATAAGCTGCAGTATGAAAGACATAATCTGGAAAAGTATAAACAAGTATAAATTGTGCACAACTCTTGTACAGATAAAGCGCATTTTTTTAACCGAAATAGCTTTTGTTTTGACATCACTAATTGATATATTTCTTGCAGACGTCTCAATCGCCCTTTGTGAGTACCACGAACTTATAAATTTAAGATGGACTGTTAATGCTGAATTGACAAATGACACCTACATGGGGGCCGCCATGATGTGCACTCACATGGCGCGAAATTCAAATCAACTAATAAACAAGCATTAAAACCCAACATTAACCTCACATTTTCTAAATAAATTACTGTGACACATGTCATTTTCCAAGGCTGCAATAGTCTCAAAACTTGAGCACTAGGAAAATTCCCCTAGAAAATAACTAGAATGTGCACATCATGGCGGCGCCCATGCTAGGGCCATTTCTACCTCTATGCAACTGTTTGATCAGCAGTCCATCTTAAGTTCGTGTGAGTACCCTCTTCCGACAATCCGATCTTGAGGTATAAGGGAATATACCTAATCACGATAAGAGGTTGAGGAGGAGGGCTATGGTTGGTAGAAATTAATTCCTTTCGTTGTGACTCTTTTCATTAGAGTATCATGATGAAGGATAAAACCAGTTCCACCCCCCTCCCCCCCGCTCCGGCACCCACTGATCTCGAAAATGAGTCGCCCGGAAAAGCTATAGTTTGTACAAATCAGTTTATTTTGATGAGACCTAAGCGTTCACTTAGCCCCAGGCTTAGCCCCCATTTGATTTTTCCTATTATCTCCGAAACCAAAAAGGCACAAACGATGAGTATGAAAGCACGATTAAACACAATCGAAGTACTACGCAATACCGTCGATGAACTATCAAAAAGTTTAATTTTTGGGAGGGCTAAGCGTTCACTTAGCCCCCATTTGATTTTTTCGATTATCTGCAAAACCAAAAAAGCACAAACGGTGCGCATAAATGCACAATTGAGGCACAATACATAAAAAAATTGGTTCATTTTTAGGCTAATGGGGGGCTAAGTGAACGGACCCTATGATAAATGTATGTTCTCTTGATTTATTTTTTGACGGTCATTCCATTGAATGCGATTGACGACTGCGTCTTTTCTCTTGCTATGGAAATTCATAATAGCTTTGAAATTTCTTATTCGATCCGTAAACTCCAGAACTTAAGAGGCCGTTCTCTGCATACGACTAGGAAAGCGCTTCAATAGAAATTATATGGGTCGAATAGCGTGTCTAGGTGTGGGACTTAGTATAACATTTTGAGTAAATTGGATTCTATACCGTGTTGTTAGGTGCCGATGTAAAGATAAAGGACACATCTATGCCTCTATTGTAACAGATTTTTGATTTAATACTCGAATTTTGCATAAATAATTGTAGAATTACTTGATATTTATGGTATTTTCAGGTGCCGTAATTATTAATATTTAAAAAATATCAAAAATATGTTACAAGAGAGACGTAGAAAAAGGTTTAGAAGCAAACGTGCCGGCATGGCGTTTTCGAGTCTTCGTTTCGTAAAAGTGCAATACAATTTCTTTCATGAAGCCGATTCGATTTAAAAAACCTTTCATTTCACATCATAATAGATTATATTGCACTTCTCTCATTTGAATTTTAAAGTTGTTGTTTAAAGTAGTACTTAATTCCAAATTTTGTCTCAAAAACAAGTTATTTGTGCATTTATATACGGAAACAGCAATTAAACAATATCTGTAAATGCTCGCACAACTGACAGTATATTGCATATTCTGAAATATCCCAAAACATTGTCTATAGGTACAATAATAGTAAAGTTTAATTTCGATCTCAAAGTCTACATAAGGTAAGATCGTTGGAATCAAGATTTACTTGTAAGTTGATAACTTTGACGTCATTTCCTAAGAGGTGTGCAAATAATAACATGTATTACGTAAGCATAAGTTTGTAAATACAGAGATAATATTGCAATACGATCTTCACCTGCTGTTATAACTCCCACGCAGTCTACGAGATAAGTACGCGAAAGTAGCGTCATCTAAAGAAATCTAATCACTTTGATTTAGTTGAGTAGGTGGTATAAAACCTCGATTAAAATTTAGTTACTTTTAATAAGCGGAGTTTGTCCCAGAGGGCAACCTACGGAGAAACTCCGTTAAAGTAGACCCTTCAAAAAGCATTGCGTTGTCTTTCTATTCAGATTTATTATTCAATGGTATTACTGAGGGTACGGTCGGAAATTTACTTCAAGTGCTACATTTACTAAAAATACACAAATCTGCGGTTATAAATTTACTGCTATATTACTGAAAATAACATCCTACTTGAATGCACGCATGCGCGAGATTTACTCCAGTTTACTCACTTTACTTCTGAAAAATACCTGGTGTAAACGAAGTAAATGTAAACACGTTTTGAGGTTATATTTTTGTGAAAGTAAAATAGTGTGAATTTTTCTGAAATATGGACATGGAGACGCGAGAATTAGTTTTAGTAGACGTCGAACACAAAAAACAATATAAACTAATGCTGAGTGTTGAAGATCATGCAAGGGCAACACAAGGTATGTTAGTATGTAAACCAAAAAAGATGCATAATTACCTACAATTGTTATGTATTCATATCAATTATATATACAATAATTATGTTACTTTGACTTACTAATATTTCTCTAACTTGTAGACATGGCATTTGCATCTACTTTATTGCAACATGCTGTAATTAATGGAATGCACAATAATGCCACGGAAGATCACACGGATTCAGCTGCTGATGTCGAGGCTGCTGTGCACGATAATCCCACTGAAGGTTACACAGAACCAACTTCGCCACAAAGCGGATACGATACTGATGGTAAGTACACTGATAAGTGAAATATTTATAACAAGATTTGTACTTAGATTTATGCCGTTGGTCCTTTGAAGGAGTAACTTTGTTGTTAAACCTGTATGGAGAAAAACAGGATGTATTAGTGAAGGGGAAGGTGAAACAAAAAGCTTTTTGGAATAGTATTGCCGAATTAATGGCTAAACATGGTTATACGTACACTGCCAGTCAGTGTAAGACAAAACTTGCAACTTTGAAAAGGCAATATAAAAAGGTCAAGGACCATAATAAAGTATCGGGAAATGATAGAAAAGATTGGCCGTATTTGGAAGTAAGTATTTTGTATGGATACACATAAATATTTATGGTATTATAATTAGGCAATGGATGAAATATTTTCTTCTCAACCATGGTTAGTACCAGTTTCTTTAGCCAGTAGTAGTAGTGCGAGCGTAAATAGTGCTGCCAGTAGTAGCTCTACCAGTACATCAATTACACCTTCTACCTCAGCAACATGTGCAATAGCGAACAAAAATTCACCAAAAACGGAGGGGAAGAAAAAACAATCACCAAAAAGTATGAACTCATAAATTTAAATGTTTTATTTTTTATTTCGCTTTGTAGAGAATAGAAAATTGGTGGACATTTTAAACAAGTTGCGAGAAGATAAAGAAAAGCATCATAAAGAAAGAATGGAGAAAAGTACAGAAGCATTAAGTTTATTACGCACACTTGTTGATAACATTTCGAAAAAGTAATGATACTAATACCTAATTATTTTTATTAATGTATAATAAATTTATTTTCATTCGTATCCTCGTTATTTGTAAAAATCATGCACCAATTTGCATAGGTAATTCAGCAGCGATTACATCCCGTTTTCTTATGGCTACATCTCTTCCTCCACCATCCGGTTCTCGTGTTGCCAGTATTTCCACAGCACTTGCATTATTTGAAATAGCTACAGCTAATGGTTGAAATTGGTCTTGTTTTAAAAGGCAGATATTGTGAAGAATGCAACACGTTATGATGTACTTTGGTATAAGATCTTCTCGTGTCATTGGTAGAGTATCTAACAATCTCCGCATTCTGCCTTTGAGAAGTCCAAATGCCCTTTCGATTGCCATTCTTGTAGATGAGTGACACATGTTAAAATTTTTTTGTATGTCTGTTAAATGACCATTGTCTTTAAATGGTACCATAAGATGCTTATGCAACTTATATGCTGCGTCTCCCAAAATGTGTACATCATCTGGAAATTGTGTGTCATTTCTAAAAAATTCTGGTAAATCCGAGTTTTGGAATACTCGCTGATCATGGACAGCTCCCGGATATCCAGTAAAACAATGAATAAACATTCCATTTTCGTTACAGACGGCCTACAATAAAAGTAGTAAGCTAACAGCTAACTACACAAGCATGTACCTGCAGAAAATAACTACCTACCTGTAATTGCATTGAATGATACCCTTTTCGATTCACATAAGCTTCTGCATTATTCTTAGGAGCAGTTATGCTAATATGGGTGCCATCAATTGCACCTATAACATTTGGAAAGCCTTTTACAGCTCGAAATACTCTTATACTTGTTTCCATTTCATCTGCTATTGGCCATTTTATAAATGTATGTACATGATCATACAACGCTTTTACTACTCTTCTTACGGAGATAACGGCAGTTGCTTTTCCGACATTAAAACGATCCGATACAGATCTATTAAAAGGTCATTGAAAATAGGTAGATAAAAGTAGAAACTGTAGACCCACCTATAGGAATCAGGTGTTCCAAGAATCCACAACGTAAGCAGCAATTGTGTTTCTGGGGATACACTTGGTCGTCCAGGTTTTACCACGTTTTCACTAATTTTTGGTCCAATTAAAGACAAAATAAAGTCAAATGTTTTTCGTTGCATTCTACAAATATTACAATTAGTGACTTAATACTTTAATTGACCTTATTCTTATTGTATAGTAGGCTAACAACGACCCACTATACAAACACAGACAGCCGTGCTGTACCAGAGGCTTACTTGGGATTTGAAACCCCAGAACCCTTGTAACACACAGTTTGAACTAACTATATAACTCCATACCTACCTAAAATGTGATTGGAATTGATCATCTGAATATAAATGAACCACATTTTCCACATAATGTTCAATTCTCGTTAAACGAGTGGAATCACTCACATTCATCAAATGTGTTAATACTAGAAATTCATCATCATCAGAACTTGAATCGGGGTACGTTACGCTAACAAGCTCCCCAGGTATGATCATGAAATTGATAGAAATGGATAGAGGACACTTTAATAACACGTTTAGAATAAAAAAATTTGCGGAAGAGGGCCTAAATTTTCCACAATCTTAATTAAAAGTTCACCTCATTTTCTGGAAATCTGGTGTTATTTTACGTATATTTTGTAATTCTTAAGTTGGCGAAACTGAAAAATTTTATGTGACAACTCTTTTTCCACTAATAAACACAGGTGACAGTAAATTTGTGTAGGGGGTTATGTTAACTTCTTCGTCTACTAAAATGAAATGTGCTGGATTTAACGTGTATATTAATAGAATGTAATAAAAGTAGTACAACAGGTATAATATACAATACAATTTTAGGTTTTGTTCGACTTAAACACCAAATAAGCGACACTTCCATGTGACTGACATTTTAATAACACCACTTTTTGAAACTTATACAATCTAAACTTGAATGCATCAGGGAAGAAGGATGTCGTAGAGAAGGTTGCATGTGGCAAAAATCGATTTCTTGGTATCGCTCACCGAGAGGGGAAACCCGGGCACTTCCTGCATGTTTCATATGAATCGCTGCTTAGCATCCACCGCCTAATACGTTCGAGAGGGGAAGGAACATCTCTCGCATTTCCCATGGATCGCAGCTACGTTAGCGATCGCCGCTTAACTTGGAACGCCTTTTTCGTATCCATCGCCGCTTAACTTGGAACGCCTTTTTCGTATCGATCGCCGCTTAGCATCCACCGCCTAATACGGTCGAGAGGGGAAGGAACATCTCTCGCATTTTCCATGGATCGCAGCGTTAGCGATCGCCGCTTAACTTGGAACGCCTTTTTCGTATCCATCGCCGCTTAACTTGGAACGCCTTTTTCGTATCGATCGCCGCTTAGCATCCACCGCCTAATACGGTCGAGAGGGGAAGGAACATCTCTCGCATTTTCCATGGATCGCAGCTACGTTAGCGATCGCCGCTTAACTTGGAACGCCTTTTTCGTATCGATCGCCGCTTAACTTGGAACGCCTTTTCCGTATCGATCGCTGCTTAACTTGGAACGCCTTTTTCGTATCGATCGCCGCTTAACTTGGAACGCCTTTTTCGTATCGATCGCCGCTTAACTTGGAACGCCTTTTTCGTATCGATCGCCGCTTAGCATCCACCGCCTAATACGGTCGAGGGGGGAAGGAACATCTCTCGCATTTCCCATGGATCGCAGCTACGTTAGCGATCGCCGCTTAACTTGGAACGCCTTTTTCGTATCCATCGCCGCTTAGCATCCATCGCCTAATACGGTCGAGAGGGGAAGGAACAAAACATGTAGGGAACTGCTTACTACTATTATGATATAATTAAAAACACATGTAGAATACTTGTACATCATTATTTAATGTTTATTATATCGTGAAAAAATAACATAACCTCTTAAGAAATTAAAGTTGGCACCGAGGAATTTTAAGAACACTATAACCAACTTAAAATCAACAATGTAATTTGAATAATATAACCTCACTTACGACGAAATGAAGTGAACTTTGAATGAAGATTGTGGAAAATGTAAGGCTTCTTCCGCAAATTTTTTAACTGATAACGTGTAATTAAGGTGTCCTCTATCCATTTCTATCAATTTCATGATCATACCTGGGGAGCTTGTTAGCGCAACGTAACCCTTGAATCGTCCAAAATACTCAAAATATTATTAACAATTAAAGGAACTATACTTTCAGAATCCATTGTGGCAATAAGGCAATATACACAATAGAGAATAATTGAGGTTAAGTAGGTATCAGTTGTCAAAAGCATATAATTGCAAAACAAGCGGTCGAAAATTATTACAGCATCTTCAGTATTTTGAGTAAAATTTAATAAATAACCGCTTTACTGCGATTGCATTACTTTAATTACTGATACTTTTTGAAGTAAATTTCCGACCGTACCCTGAATGAATTGTTTGTACCACGTGCAAGGTCAGTGGGGTAAATTTAAGACACCGGCTTGGGTAAATATGAGACGAGCTGTGGGGTAAAAATGATACATAATTTTATACAATTTTAGGTTCCCGAAAGTTAAAATGCCTAGATGTTACGTTTCGAAAGTGAAAAATTACACGGAAGAAGATCTGCAAAAGGCGCTTACTTTAATTAAAGAAGGTGAATTGTCTATTCGAGCTGCTTCAAAGAAATTTGGGATTGATAAATCAAAATTAAGCCGCTGCATTCATAATAAAAATAATGCAAAACGAGGACGAAAGCAAGTCTTATCTGTGAGAAAGATTTAACCCAAAAATTAACTATATTGGCAAAATGGGGGTTTGCCTTATCAAAGGAGGAGGTTAAATTAGTTGTCCAAACATACGTAAATGAAAATAATTTGAAAACGGTTTTTAAAGATGGTAAACCAGGTGATGATTGGTTTCGATTGTTCTGTAAACGAAATCGTCTGAGTCAGAAAAAAATGGAACAGTTAGAAAAGGAGAACAGCCACTAGCGATCCATTTATCATATACTCTTTCTATGATCGCCTCGAAGAAACAATTAAACAGCTTGGTTTAGAAGATAAACCCTCGCATATCTTTAATTTGGACGAGACAAGCTTCAATTTAGATCCAGGCAGGATCAAAGGTGTTGCTGCGGTGGGCCAAAAAGTTCATAGGAGTATCGAAGGATCTGGTAAAGAAAATATAACGACAATGGCTTGTATTTCTGCTAGTGGATTATTATTATCACCGCTAATTATATATCAAGGTCAAAACCTATGGAGCTCATGGAAAGGGTCAAATGACTTGGAAGGGACCTGTTACGCTGTTTCAGAAAAAGGTTGGATGACCACCGCCGTTTTTAATGGTTGGTTCTCCAAATTTTTTGCAATGGTTTCAGAAAGGCCACTTTTGGTGATAATGGATGGTCATGTTTCTCACCTGGATAAAGGAACCATTGACCTTGCCATACAAAACAATATCACTTTGTTTAAATTACCACCCCATGCGACAGATATATTACAACCGTTAGACAAATGTTGCTTTGGTCCATTGAAGCTTAAATGGAATCAAAAGCTTTTAGAATGGCAGCGATTGAATCAGAGGAAGCTCACAAAGCCAGAATTTGCAGATATGATATGCGAGATATGGAATATAGGAATTTCAAGCTCTGTCATTAAAAAGTCTTTTGAAAGCACTGGAATATTCCCTTGCTGTAGAGACAAATATCCAGTAGAACGTTTAAATGAAATTAAATTGAAGAGATATAAAGAAAGAGCTCAAAACCCAAATCCTTTAGACGTTTTTGAATTGTATCAAGAAGAAGAAAAGGACGAAAATGCACGTGATATTTCTGAACAGGGAATTGAGCAATGCGAAACAAAGGAAAACGAAGAACCACGCCCATCAACCTCATTTGAACACATTTTGCTACAAAAAATTAATAAAACAAACCCCGAAATAAAGCGAAGGCGAAAGGTTGATTCGCAATGTGCAGTTTTAACCAGTGCCGAATACTTAAGGATGATAAATGAAAAAGAAGCTCTGCAAAAAATGAAAAAAGAACCAAAGAAAAAGATTCCTAAAGTGACTGAGTCTTCTTCGGACAATGACAGCATTCCTTACAAAGACGAAAGCGACACTGAAAATCTGACAGTTGAAGACATTGTCAATGAAGAAAATCAATCAAATGAAGATTTTTGTGTGAGTGACATTAAAAATGGAGACTACATTTTAGTGAAGTTTTGTACAAAGAAAAAAATATTACATTATGTTGCGCTCGTGGAATCTGTAGGAGAAAATGAGTGTTCTGTGTCGTATTTACGTCGAAAGGGAGACAAATTTATATTTCCCCAGATACCTGAAAAATATAATGTGCCTAAGGATGATGTAGTTTTGAAATTACCAGCCCCAGACTTTCATGGGGGCACCGCGAGAGTATCACAAAAATTTGTATTTTCTATTGCTTTTGATAAATTTAATGTGAACTAAAGCTTATGTTAAAGATTTACTTTATTTTCGAACTTTGTGTCAACATGGTTACCATATTTCTTCATGATGAGTTAAATCAAATATTTCTTTTTATTATTATTAGGTTTTTGTGTGTATTTTTTTAAGTAAACTGAGAAAAAATATATAAATGAGTGTCTCACATTTACCCACAATGTATTAGTATTACCCCAAGGATGATAGGCAACGCACTCTATTTAATAAATGCCTGAAAACGTAGTGTCTCATTTTTAGACGTACCATGTCTCATTTTTAACCTAAAAGGTGTGTAGAAATGAGACACAATTTTAATTTTTTTTTCTAAAACACGCAATAATTTACTCAAATGTATTAATTAAATGTTATTCCTCATCAAATTCTATATGAAATGGCCATTTTTCTGAAAATTTAGAGAAACAAGAACCACTCGAAAAATCAAAAGTTACGTTAAACGTCTCATTTTTACACCACTTGACCCTATATAAATTGGTAATTAGCATCCACAACGAACGCCCAATAGTACGATGCTGTGCTGGCCTTTATAATTGTAAAATGAGGATCCTTCACTTCTTTTGGCTTTAAAAACAACATGCTTGCCATCCATGGCTCCAAGAACATTGGGTAAATTCCAAATATTTTGGAAATCTTGAGCAATGTTTAGCCATTCTGCAGCTGTATTCGGTACCTATAAAAAGAGAGCGATTTGTATCTAGAAAGTCTCAATGTCGTATTACTTACTTTAAGATATTCTTCAGATAAGGAGTGATAAATTGCACGACAAACTTCTGGAACAAACAATGAAATTGTCGACTCTGCCTGCCTAAATGAATACATTAAGCTTCTATAACTCTCCCCAGTAGCGAGAAACCTCACTGTTATTATTAATTTATCTCTTGATGAGATTGCTTCTCGAAAGTACGTGTCCTTTTTTTGAATATAAGGTGTAACTAATTCCAAGAGTTTATTAAATGTTGGCTCATCTATACGCAAAAATTGTTTAAATTGTTCCGGATCCTCTTGAAATTCTTGATTCACTAAATTTAAGTTGCCTCGTTTTACAAGACATCCCCGGAGTACCAGTCTATACCACTTTACAATGCCCTTCCGGACAAATGAAAAGCGGCCTAAACCTTGGCCAATTTCAAAACAGGATTAAGGCATTCTTGTTGGATAGAGTCATCTACCGCGAGCGTGAATTTGTTACGACTATGTGTTCGTTTTCTTTGTAATTACCTGTGTGTCTGTGTCTGTTATATTTATATGTTATATTTATATATCTACTATTTTTTATTATTTATTGACGTGTAAATAATTGTTATTGCAATTCTACTTACTAATAAATTTATGATTATGATTATTACTCTCAATTTTGAGCATAATTTGTAAGAAGCATTATGTATCCAAATGCAATAGTTTCAGAGTTATCGGGTTTTGAAAATAAAAGATATTGCTTTAAAATGTATTTAATAAAGAACAATAATTCATTAATTATTGTTCTTTATTAAATACATTTTAAAGCAATATCTTTTATTTTCAAAACCCGATAACTCTGAAACACGTTACGGAATTTCTTTTGAAAACATTGTGGTTCTGAACAGACTCGTTTGTGAGGTTTGTTATTATTGTTTGGAATCATTAATTATTGTTTTTTGTTCAATTATTACTGAATCTTAAAATAAGTTTATTTTCAAAACTCGATAACCTGGAAACGATTGAATTTTGGTACATTATTCTTATTACAAATTTTGCTTAAAGTTTAGAGAAGAATTGAAATATTGAGTACAAGGTGTAATTTTTTTCGCATATAATGGCTAATGTAGCATAAACAACTACAAAAAAGTTTGTTAGTTTCTTAGTTTTTGAGAAATTTTCAACTGAAAACTTGAATAATTTTTTTAAACTTGCACATTTTTGCGAAAAGTAAGCCCCATAGCAAATACAAATCTCGCTGAAAGACATGAACGATTTCTACTTGGCTATGTGTAAGGATACTTTACAATTTACACAAAAAATTAGCCATGTACCGATAACTCACATTATTTTTCTGTAGCCAGACTATTACCCTAGAGAAGGGCTATTACGTTTTTCAAAGGCGGGAATGGACTAGCAAGATTCCCGCGCGAGTTGCTGTCTGATAGCACGTGCGTCTTTTTCTTTTCTTCAGCAGTAGTTTCAACCATTGCTTTCTTTACCGATTCTTCAACCTTCTTTATTGTTTTTGATTTGAGTATTTCTGCCACTCTATATATTGTCATGTTTAACCCTACAGTACTTACATATATTTTATCGTTTATAATAATAATAACCAGTAACAGTGGCATAACATACAAAAACACGAAATAAATCACCTACAGCAACAAAATATAAAAGAAAGTACACAAATAAAGCATCTCAAATTGTACGATAAAAGTAAGGTAAGTAATCGAATCAAAGGCAGTTAAATTCATAAAAACAAAACACACGACACATCATAAATGCAAGTGGGAAACATGATTAATCAATTTAGTACAAAAACACATTAAAATACATCTACGATCAAATGAAATAAAACAACTCGTAAAATAATAAATTGCATATACATAGGAAAACATCAAAATGGCGTGACCACTCCAGCCTCAATTAATATAAATTAATTTAACACAAAAAGTACATGTGAGAATGCCAATAACAAGTATTCATGGGGAAATCGATTATCGCTCTAGCAAAACATATTTTAAATACAGGAAATGTTAATAAGAGTGTCCCTTGATTTCTCGTCTTGCCAAGAGCTGCGATCCGCACGAGACCAGCAGGTAACAGATACACTGAGCAATCGGACTGTATTAGGTAGGTACCTACTCCAAAGAAACGGTTGAACAGAACCACTCGTACACAGAAAGTAACAGATACAGAGACTAGCAAAGATGTGCCACAATAACCGACATTTGCTGATTTTGTAACTAAAAAAATCAAAAACACTTTCTCATGCCACTGCCGTATATTAATGGTAATTAGTAGTGGGTTGTGAAATAGTTACTATGGTTTTCATGTTCAATAAGAAATAAATCTGTCATATATAAAAAGAGGTGTATGTCTCGTGTTCTTTCCAATTAGAAGAATATATATTAGCCACTGAGCTCTACAAGACAGCGTTGTGAGATTTTCATTATATACAACATTTGTTTCAGAGAAATCATGAACTTAATTTTTATATGGCTCATAAAAAGGTATATACTGTATCGAGTAACATTTTTTATTATAAATTCGTGTACGACACACAAAAAAAAACAAAAGTTGGACGGACACTGTTCGTTTCAACAGAATGGTGCACCCGCGCACAACGCTGTAATTGTGCTAGAACATGTATCAAGACAAATTTCCTGAAAATGGAAAATTCCTCCAATAGGCACTGTCGCATTATTAGGGCGCTAAGCGCGAGCGCACCATACTGTTTCCAAAATTTAAAAAAAAATGTCAAAAGTCAAAACTAACTGTAATGACATAATTGCAGATATTTGCGGGCAATATAAATACATAGGATAAAAAAATGTACAGCGTTATGATGACCAATTTAATAATGCAGGAGTCTACGTTGAAAATTAGGGTAACGTCCTGTAAGTTCTGAATCAATCACACAAAGGGTTTTTAGTTTCTGGAAAAACTAAGTATTTATTATATTTCGAATCAGAAAAAATATATGGACATGGTGTACCTATGTAAACAATCAATAATAAACTAGTAGCTACAAAGATTTATTTACATAAACTTAATCTGTATGCTTCCATACAATATGCTTTTTAAGTGTGCTGCTATCATAAAAACCTTTGCCACAAGTAGTACAATGAAATGGTGTGTCTCCAGTGTGTCGTCTAACATGAACGGTTAGATTTCCATTTAACGCAAACGCCTTCCCACAGTATTGGCAAACATACTTTTTTTCTCCAGTGTGAGTAAACATATGACTTGTAAGCTGCTGTTGTTGAATGAAAGACCGAAGGCAAATCTTACAGACGTATGGTCTCTTACCAATGTGGATCTTTTTATGCTGATATAAAGTTGTTGGGTTCTTAAACGTTTTACTGCAATATTCACACGTGTATGGCCTTTCTCCTGCAAAACAAATAATATAAGCCGAACAAATTCTATTGATCTAATTGTCTAGTCATACCGCTGTGATGTATCAAATGCTGCTTTACTTTCGCCTTAGTTGGAAAGAACTTATGACATTCATGACATTGGTAAGGTTTTTCTATATGATCCAATAAGTGTTCCTCTAAGTCGTCCTTATTCGTAAACATGTCAAAGCAAAATGCACAATTCAGTGACATCGAATTGAAGGTTGACATACGCACTTTGTGTAAAAACATATGGACATTGTAACTAAAGGGAAGTCGAAAAGTTAAACCGCAAATGTCACATTTCAACTGTTCCTGTGCCGTGTGTATTTTGAAATGTTGAACTAACGACTTCGGATTACTAAAAACTGAAAAAAGCCAGTAGCCAAATGCATTGATTCATATTTTGCTTTACCTTTTAAGCAATTGTTACACTTATGTATTTGACCATCTTTAACTGTGTTTGAATGAAATCTTTGTTCGTGCTTCCTGTAAGTTTGCAGCAGCACAAAAGATTGGCCGCAATACTCACATATGTATTGCGGTGTTCCTCCACTGTGACTTAGACTATGCGTTTCTAAAGCAGTATTTTCCTGAAACCCTACAATGAAAGCAATATATTGTTGTTACATATTCACTGTGTTCAAAATAAGGATGTTATGAGGATCTCTGAAACCATAGAAGCTACGACGATGCTCAAATTAGAGAAAAGATGCGCAATTAAACAGTTATTATCAGGCTTTAAAAACATCCAGAAAATTCCGATTCCTTCCTAAGATATGCCAGAAATACCGAAATGTACCGAAATCGATTTTTTATTTTTTTCTGATGTTATTTGAACAGAAACCTAACAAATACTTTCTCAGTGAGTTGAGAGATTTTCAATTACACGTTTCGTTTTGGAGAAACCATCATCAACTTAATTTTTTTATATGACCAGTAAAAACGTACATAGGTACTGTGTTAAGTAGCATTTTTTATTAAGAATACAACAAGATACGACGCATAGAAAAAAACCAGAACCGTGTAAGAATACCTAACAAATTTCTTAGAAAAAAAAATGCTACTCAATATAGTATGTAGTTTTTTACGTGCCATAAAAAAAATAAAGTTGATGATGGTTTCTCCGAAACAAAACGTGTTATTGAAAAAGTGGCAACGAGAAAGTATTTTTTATTTTTTTGTGTCTGTTCAAATAACATCAGAAAAAAATAACAACGAAATTGGCAAATTTCGGTTTTTCTGTAATATCTTTAGAAGTAATCGGAATGTTCTGGTTAAAGCATGATAATAACCATTTCATTGCGCATCTATCCTTTATTTCTTTGAGGATAGTCATATCTTCTATGGTTTCGGAGATCCCCATGACAGTGTATATTATACGGAGTGGCGGAAAAGTATGGAATCAGCGAGCTACAGCCTTAACCATTCGTTATATTGAAAAAAGTGTGAGATGAAAGTTGTTTGATATTATATTATGCTTGTTTTGACGTACATGGATATTTTTTCGAATGACCTCATTTCAAGTTATGTCATGTTGAGCATATTTTTTAAATTGAACACCCTGTATTTTTTAAGTTTTTTATGATCTTCTAGACGAGGTGCTTCAAAATGGTATAGGGTTTTAACGCTCTGAAGTTCTCAGATTTCAAGATATTTTAGTTTTAATTTAATTAAATCAAAACATTGAGAAATGCGTATGTAAAACATAACTTGAAATTACGTGATTCGAAAAAATATCAGTGTACGTCAAAACATGCACAATATAATATCAAACAACTTTCATCTCACACTTTTTTCAATATAACGAATGGTTGAGGCTGTAGCTCGCTGATTCCATACTTTTCCGCCACTTTGTATAAATAATATGCGATCAAAAATGAGTTGCTGTCAAGTCACCTTTGGAATTTTTGTTTAGATGGGATCTCGTACTTAACTTGCACTTCCAAAGGCAACTCGACAGCAACTCATTTTTGATCGCCCGTTATGTATTATATTACATAGTAAATGTTACCATAACTATCTTTTAAACCACTGAAATCAACCATGATTGTTTTTTGCATTAAACATTTTATATACAGAGTGTCTTAGGTAGGAGGTACCTATGTCGTCGCCAATAATTTTTTTAAATGGATTACTCTGTATATTGGGGCAATTATATGACACATTCTAGAGTCTAACTAAAGGTATAGAAACAGAGGTGCTATTTTGTAGTTTATGTAAACGATGACTATTTCGTATGCTATGGCTAAACGTAATGGTGCCCAAACTTAAAAGTGTAGTTTGATCCTACTCCTTTGATACCTAACCATTTCCTCATTCGAAAGACAATGTCCGCTGTATCAGAACCGAGCCTAGAAGGTATTCCAATCAACCGATTCAGCCAGTATCAATTTCTACAATCGCTAACTCAACTTGGCAGAAACAGTACATTAACCAATGACAAACCTGGCAGAAATGGAAGACAAGAAATGAAGACGTCAAAATAAGTGATTTTGTCATCGTAAGAGACGAAAACTCTTATTCATTCAAGTGGCCTCTTACACGCGTAGTGGATATACATAAAGGAAGCGAGTGAAATTATACAAAAATAAGTGTCTTGACATTGTAAATAAACAAATATTGCATAATTAGGAATAATCAATGTATTTAAATCTTGATTGTACCTTTGTTTTAAACACTAATTAGTTAATTCGATGGCAGCGGAATGTTGAAGCATATTGAAAACGGGTCCAAATTGCGGAACCAGTTTTTGTAAATTTTGTAAATAAGTTTTTATTTTTAATGTAGGCACTTTTTAATTTTTGAAACACTTAACGATCAAATGTCCTTTTGTTTTCTACGGCTCGACTCGACCGCCATTCATTTTTGATCGCTCGTTATTTATTTTTATATATTCTATGTTTGCTTGTGTACCTCAATATCATAGTTTTTGTAAGTAGCAAGTTTGCTACCCTGTAATCGATTAAAAATATTTTTTAACGCGCCAAAAAACGTACATGAGACTGTTCTGCATTAACCCAACGATAAGCTTTACCCACTTTGTGGATTATGTTAATAAAAAAAACCTGTTGGTCTTTTTATATTTTATGGTGTATAGGAAGCAAAAAAACTTGGGTGGACATTCCCACTTCCCAGTATGACGTAATTCAAAATGGCCGCCGTTTTCCATTACCATTCTGTCTGCGTGGGCTTTTTAGCGAAAATGGTAGAAGTTATAGAAACAGGTTTCTTATCTATAACTCTGTTTATTACCAATTTTTTGACAACTCCAACCCTTAGTCCAGAAGCATTACATTTTCATTATTCTACTATAAAGACAGCAGTTTTTGATGTTTTTCTTATTTTTCTAATTGCATATTATGAAATAAGTAGGGTCACTATATCAGTTATCCGACCAATGCCAGTTTTCGACTACCTACTTTTAAACGAAATATAGATTTTTAACCTAACATTATGCAAATGAGTTATGTTACGAAAAAGCTACAAGTGTAAAATATATTCTAACACTAAATTATAAGACTTGTACGGCTTGTGTTACAGGCCCTAGGTCTGTATGCTTGAAGTCAGCTTCACAACGCAAATGTAAAGATCCAGTAGGTCGAATGACGTGATAGAAGCGTGCGAACCGTGCTTAACTTAACTTCCACAAACAGGAAGTGATGAAATATTTTTTGCGATTTATGTCTGGTATTACTCTATTTTGTCTATGAAAAATAGATTTAAATAGACTTTTTTGCATAGGTATCAAATTATCAGACTTTTTTTCGTCAAAAATTATACCCTAGTAGCACCAAATATTGAATATACATATATTTTACATTTATTCAATGTAATATGTTGAGTAAATATGTATTTATAAAGTACAAGCAATATTTAATAAATATTTGAAAAACAATATTTATTTAGTAATATTTTTTATTCGTTTATAAAATAAAATTTTTAAACTCAAATAGCAATAAAAAATTGCTATTATTAGTCGTATCTATATAATGTATACAGTGTGTAAAAGCGATGGGATATACAAGAGGATATTATTTTTTTAAATATTGATTTATGAAAAAAATTTATTCTTCATAATATTTTTTGCTTGCTTTGAAAGTACCAATAACGTTTCGATTGTTTGTGGTTTGATAGCAATACTCTATCTTAATTATAATGTAGAATGATAACTTTCAATAAAAAAAATTAATTTCATTATTTTTCCAGATTTCTATAAATAAATTTTAGATTATCGAAACGTTATTAGTACTTTCAAAGCAAGCAAAAAATATCATGAAGAATAAATTTTTTTCATACATCAATATTCAAAAAAAAATTCCCTTTTGTATACCCCATCGCTTTACACACTGTATAAACTTATGCGGGTGTGCCCATACACGTCAGTTTTGTTTAAAAAAAGTATTTTATTTCTAATATAAATATATTCATTTATTTATAAAATATTGTCAAGAATATATTTATCTTGTAATATATATCGGTTATTTAGTAAATATTTCCAAATACGGTGTACGGAGCGCACGAGCAGTTAGACAATTACCCATTGCCGCGCCAAACCATCCTCATAACCTCATTTTTGCAGCGTTTATTTTTTGTAGGTTTAAAATTCGTATACAAAATTTTAGTTAATCCTATTGTGAAATATCAAAATACTGACCGAGTTTTAAGTGTGTGTGTGTTTATAAAGTACGAGTGCTTATACATCGGAGAAGGTAAGTTCGTATTTCTGTTCATGTGCCCACATTGTGAAATTATAATTTAAAGATCATGTCTTATTCTCATCGCGTTCGACATAATAAAAAGTACCGTTACATTCAAAAGCAGCTACTTAAAGGTTCCACCGAGCCGAGGGTTCCACTGCACCTGTAGAAAGTGATAAAGACGTAGCCATTGCCGAGACCATTGCTTTATCGAGGAATTCTGAATGGGAGGATGAATGTGCCTCAACCTATAACCTTGACATGCCATCAAGTAGCTAATACTTTACCGTTGCCAACAAGTGGGCATACTACGCCAACCTCTACACAACCAAACAATATTAACACTGGTAGGCATTGCCATTATATTGTCTGTAACCATAATTCAAGACGTAAAATATTAAAATTAGATAATAGATGCCAAATTATTGAAACAACATATTTTAGACCTTTTACGTTCTATATTGAAGAACCAGGTGGAGATCAAGTTTGAAATAAATGAAATCCAAAAACGACTGGATGTATATTAACAGTATATTAAGTACCAAGAGATTAAAAAGAGTTTTTGTTCTCGAAAGAATAGTTTAAATTCTTGAGGGAACAAAAACCAGTTTAATCCAATGTTACTTATGTACTATTTTTTCCAATACCGAACGATCTAAATTCATTTCAAAATGAGTATGATTTTTTATTATAAAAAAATATCAAAAAGTAAGGTCGAATATTTACCAATCTGTCATGATGACAAGGGATTAAAATGTTTTTAATCCCTAGGGATTAAATTTACGTTGATGCACAAAAATTAGGGATTAAAAAACACTAGTCGGTATTGGAAAAAATATTTTATTTTCTCTGTAGAGATCCTTCTTTCCTGTTAGCAGAAATGCAATTAACAATTGGTTTTATGGGTATATATCAAATAAATCAATGTTTATCAAGTGAAAGCTATCACCTCCATGTATCACTAAAACATTAAAGAATTGAACGAATTCATTTACCTGTTTGCAAATTGGAGAGATATGCTAGTAGTGAAAAATAATACCATTGAATAAGGCCTTATTCAATAGTAAACATACTCCATGGCATTCAAGCGTTCTAAACATCGCTTCCTTATTTCCGGGGAGAATTTCTTTTGACAAAATACTGTTAATTTCCACTTTTTAAAATCTTGATTTTAAATCATTCTATTTTAATTTAATAGCATTATACTTTTGTAAGCTGTAATCATTAAATTTTAGACGGTACTAGAAAGAGACATGCTAATGCAACAGAGCAAGAAATCAAGAAGACTGTATCATTATATTTGGCACAAAGTAAAAGTCGTATAAAAATGAAGGAAAGGTAAAAATTAAATATAGTCTTTGTATATTAATTAATTACGCTTTTGTTTCAGCATTTTCAAATCCAATGATGTTTCTGCGGTGGAAGATTTGTGAATAATTTAATTTTTAATCAAATTAATCGAGAATGTGCCATAAAATATAATAGTATTTACTTTGTAAATATCGTTAATCAAGTACATATATATAAATTTACTTAATATTTTGTGTAATATTTTACTAGTATTTCATATATATTTATCCAGTGGAAAAAAAATATATAGAGTAAATATTATAACAAAATATTTAATATGAGTAGTAACAATATATTGTAATAATATTTACTAGGAATATATGTTCAATATAAAATTATATATTTACTCTATATATAACAAAATATTTAAAATATATAAACAAAACTCTTTTTTAATATATTTCTGAAATATTCAATTTAAAATATTTTGCAAATATTTCGTGCTACTAGGGTATGGAAAGTGGATTTCTAAAAGATCGTGTGACGGTAGCTGAACCACTACACCGTTTGTTGGACAAGACTAGTACGTGGAAGTGGACAAATCGCGAAAGAGACGCATTTGAAGCTGTTAAACATTTATTCGTGACTCATCCAGTTTCAGCGTTGGTTGTGTGTTAGGACATCGTTTTGAAAACGGTCAAATCGCCCCTATTGCGTTTCACTCGAAAACTTTGTAGAAAACGCAACGTGCATACGCGCCGCGCAGCTCGACCGCCAAGCTTTGTCGTTAATTCTCAAGAGTTAAAAAATTCAACAATTATCTCTATCGCCGATATTTCGAGCTTCAGACGGACCATAAGTCCTTATTGGGAATTTTAAGCAAAGATATACCCGTTTCGGAGGTATTTTCGCCGCGAATGTTACGTTGGACTCTTTTAGTAACTATAATTTTGATTTAGTGTTACGTCCCTGGAAAGAAACTTAGGAGCGCAGACGGAACCGCTGTGACGGCGGAAGATATTGAAAAATTAACAAAGAAAGGCAGGGTGTTGTTGCAAGTTCTAAATTTAGTGCAAAGAGGATAGCCAGATAAAGAAACAGCCGTTTTATGCAATATTACCTACAAGTTTTGCATTCGTCACACCTGGGGATCGTGAAAAGGCGCAAGGCCGTAGTTGCAGCTAGTTTACTCCTTGAAGAAGCGTGAGAATTTCACTAGATGCGCATAGCTAGCGAATGGGAAAGCATTAGGAAAGAAAATGATAACTTCTACGCGCGACGACTGCCTTAAAACAACTTGATAAATTTTATTATTACACACTCTTACTACTGAGTACATTAACTAATCAGTAAACGAGGGAATTCTGCCCATTTTATATCAATTATTAATAACCATTTCCAATTATATTGGCATTCGGATTTGTCATAATTGTTATTTTAATAATCGCGCAAAGGTTAATAATACTTTCAACGTAATGATGAAATCCCCACCAGTATCCGCCACCATTTTCATGTTTCTTCGAGGAATAAACAAGCTGTACGTATGGTGGCCGAATGTAGACATAGACATTGAAAAAGTTGTGAACCAGTGTGCAACATGTCCACATCTTCCTGCTAAGGCCCCAATTCATCCGTGGGAATATTCAAGGAGTCCCTGGAATCGTTTACATGTCGACTTTTTCGGGCCAATACAAGGTCAGCAATTTTTCATTGTTGTAGACTCATACACAAAATGGTTAGAAGTTAAATGTGTAAAAACAACGTCATCCGGTTGCGCGATTCCAGTTTTATGTGAACTATTTGCTACACATGTGACATGGTATGACGTACCCAGAGGCGTAAGAACGAAAATTGGGGGGACGGGGGGCAAAATAACTTTTGCCATGCGAATGGGCGGAGCAAATCGCCGAATCTCGAATCGGCCTTTCGGTGTTGGATAATTCCATAATGACCATAATTAATAATTATGATTAGCAAATAAACAAATTGAAATTCATACTATGCACAGTGAAAATTAGCCGAGGGGTCACCCACTGCTGTCAATACGTGTACATAGTTATGTCAATACTTGCCAATACGTTAGAATACCTGCCAATACTTGAGAATACCAATCAATACCCGACAATACACGTGAACACATGTCAATACTTGACAATACATTTAAATACTTGGCAATGCATGTAAATAACTACCAGAAAATGTCACTATTGTGATTTTTTTTCAATCTATTTTTATGCGCAACACACCCCGCGCTTTACCGAGAGCGTACGAAGTTGGAAGCGCCTAGTCAAAAGACTGACATGCTGAATCACACCTCGTGGAAGTGTAAAAGTGAAGTGTTTTATGTATAAAAATTATAATGGATGAAGGCGTGGAGGGACGAGTAAGTAGTAGTGTTTCGATTTTATGTTTAATAATCTTCTATCCTTCCAGAGCACGAGTTTAAATTTCCACTTGAAGAAAGCAGACGATTAGGAAATTTAAAAGAAAATGTCATTTCTAGTGATGTACCGAACATAGCCGAAATACAACAAATTTTAAAGAAAGCCGAGAAAGATGCCACAAACACATGCATATTACAACTAGGCATGACTGGGATTGAAAGCACTTGTTTTAATAACATTGATTTGAACACCATTGCAGAAAAACAATTATCTGTTAGTAGAATAAATTGCAATGGAACGGAGTTACTACGCACATCAACAGAAATGGAACACAATGCAATTGAATCGGAGGACGAATATGAACGTTTAATGGAAAATGACATCACTATTTTAAAAAATTTTAAAGATTTAAACTTAAAAGAGTACAAGACTGCCAATCAGGATAAGAAATCAGTTAATAAAGCGTTTTTAAATATCATTATTAATGAAGAAAAACAGATGACGGTTGGAAAATCTTGGTTATTTTCGGAGAAAAAACATCTGTCCAGTGATACAAGAATTCGTGTACGAGGTATGTCATCAAATAACGTGAATTTTCATAGAGAGAAGCGAGGAATACAACATCGCCAAAAGCCATCACTACAACAAGAGGCAGCAACAGAAACAGAATCCGAAATAGAAACGTCCACAGAAACGTCCGAGAGTAATATAGAATTAGATAGTACCTTCGACAGTACTGAAGTGCTTTCTATATCTAATAAAACTGAAGATGAGAACTGCGATAGCCAATCAGATATCTGTACCATTAACCTGGAAATGGAAAAATATTATAGTGTTTATTATGATGAGACTTGGTATATAGGTCGCATAATACAAAAGAAAGAGACCAGTTGTACCATCAAATTTTTGAAAGAAGAATTAGACAAATTCATGTGGCCTAGTGCAGATGACATAAAAATTGTTAATAGTGAATACATTTTTTATGGACCTATTGCTTTGGAAGGCATCGGGCCATTTTCCATAAAACGGCACGATTTGATCTTAATAAAAAAAGAATATAAAGAGCTGAAAAAGAAAATGCAAGGGAAATGATTTATTTGGTATTAAATTTTTTTTATGAATTGTTATTTTGTTTAGTATCATTTAAAAAACATATTGTATCGTGTTTTTTGAATAAACGCATTTGTGAATCAGCAATTCTAATGTTTTTTTATCTTTTTGTTTTATTTTAATATTACAAACGACTACAAAATGTATCTGATTAAAATGAATTTTGAATAATTTAAATTGCATCTATAATTACAGTCATATCACATCTGGGAATACATGCCAATACCTGGGAGTACTTATCAATATCTGACAATACTTGGCAATATTCGAGAATACTTGTCAATATCTGAAAATCCGGTCAATACTTGGGAATACATGTCAATTCTCCGGAATACACGGTTTTGTCAATACATGTACAAAATGTTTGCTAGTGGTTGACCCCTCGAAATTAGCACAAAATACGCTTATTTTGAAGACAACCAAGGTAATTGTGGTTCGGTAATAAAGCCAATGCCTACTAACTCAGCTCAATGGGTTCAATTAGAGTTGATAACCGGGCGCCAGGTCCTATCCCCAATGGTATATGCCTCCAGCGGATCAATAGAGGTGATATAGCCACGAATTACCTGTACTAATACTCAACAGTAATAATGAAGTACCCAAGTTCAATGTTAAATAAACGAAAATTATATTTATTGTAACAACAAAATAAAACAAACTCTATGTAAGATGGATTATTGTTAAATAAACTGAATATTGGTTTTAAGATGGACGGAGGTAATAAGGTAGAAACGGAGGATGTAATTTGTAAATAATGCAAGGCCTTCTACAGTTGCAATAAAATCAGCAAGAAATAATATACATAAATATTGACAACTTACCCTGTTGGCCGGACGATAGCTAGAAGATAGCTAGTGGTGAATGAAATATTAGGGGTTGTACAACCAAAGCGCTTTGTTTGCTACCGCCGTATGTGTTTATTCGATGAATACAGCAGCCCTCCGTACTGTCAACTGGCAAGTAGCGTTTAGTCTTACCGCCCAAAAATTACGGTAAGTAAAATGGATAAATATGAAGCTACCTAACTGTAGAAACGACCTAATTGCTAAAATTAAGATGGTTATAATGACCGATGGACGAATAATTAACGGATTGGATGGATCACAGGTGAGTATAGATAATCTCTTGCTTCTTTTGTATGTAGTTTGATATCAACAGGTATTGGTATGCAGATATGAGCCCAGGGTCAGCAACAACAACAACCACAAGGGCTGATTTACGCGACGCTGCTATCCAGTGTGGTGATAAGGAGTTGAACAATAACTTGATTAGTGACTTCCTTAGGTATTTAATTTGACGTTTCAATTTGCTTCAAGATTATGACTTTAAATAAATAGGCTAAAATTTTAGAATTACGATAATTAAGAAATCTGATTAGTTCTTACCCTGATAGTCGACCTCTTTTCCCTCTGAGCATTAAATCCCACTACTGTGGTTGCTAATTATGAGTACTAATTATCTAACTAATTGTTTCTAAATTAATTAGCTGTACTAATGAAATGCGGAAAATCTGGCCTAATAGTTGCCTTTTAATTACAGGTACCGCAAATCACGTTGCTCTCGGAAAGTACAGGTGTAAAATGAACGAGATATCAGTTTACGCCAAATACGAAATTTTATGTTATCAATTATTCTCCAACATTTTGATTTCTAAACTCCTAAGTGTATATGCAACCTATTCTACATGATTCTTCTCAAACCCAACCGTTATAAAAGTAAAAAGTAATAATA